TTCAACCACGGATAAACCAGGCCGTCAGGTGGAGAGACCGGAGATCCGGGTGAACCATTATTCCTCCGTCCCAAGGTTGGGTTAGCAGGTCCCGAACTGGAGGGAGTGCTATGGGGTCCCGGGCCAGCATATCCACCAGGATGGGGAACCAGAACTGTCTGGGCCACCTGGGGGCTATGAGGATGATCGAGGACCTGAAAGTTCTTGCTCTGGTCAACACCCTGGAGATTAGTGGGAATGGGGGAAAGGCGTAGAGAACGCCCTTTGGCCATGTGGTCGTTAGGGCGTCTCCCTTGGAAAATTTCCCCAGCCCCAGCAGGGAACAGTAGTTCCTGCATTTTGTATTGCGTGCCAAGGCAAACAGGTCCAGATGGGGATAGCCCCACCTGTGGAAAACCTGGCTGAGTACAGAATCCTTGAGCGACCATTCGTGGGCTCCAAAGGATCTGCTCAGTGTGTCTGCAAGCAGGTTCTTGCACCCGGGGAGGTATTCCACCTGGGGCGAGATGTTGTGCATGATGCATAGGTGCCATAACAGCAGGGCTTCCTTGCACAGAGGTGGGGAATGTGCCCCACCCTGCTTGTTGAGGTAGAAAACCGCTGCAGTGTTGTCCATACGTACCAGGATGGAGCGGTGGGAGAGCCTCGGAAGAAATGCTTCGCAGGCTTTCCTCACCGCTCGTAGTTCCCGGACGTTGATGTGCAGAGACCGTTCGGATGGGGACCAGAGGCCCTGAGTTCTGTGGCCCCCGAGGTGTGCACCCCACCCTAGGTCGGATGCATCGGTGACCAGGGTCAGCGAGGGGGGAGTGGCATTGAAGGGAACTCCGCTGTGCACCACAGATTCCTGGGTCCACCAGAGTAGGGAGTCCAGAAGGGTCTCATCCTCATCCTGGCATGTCGCACCGTGTAAGTGCATGCCGCCATATGTCCCAGGAGCCTGGAGCAGACCCGGGGAGTCGTGATGGGGGACCGGGTTAACTGTGAAATCAGCTCCCCTATTGCAAGGAACCTGCTGTGGGGCAGGAACGCTCTGGCCACCTTCACATCGAGTAGAGCTCCCACGAACTCTATGCTCTGGGAAGTGGTCAGGGATGACTTCTCGACATTCACCAAGAGCCCCAGCCTTAAGAAGAGAGCTCTTATGAGTGACACGTGAGCTTCTACTTGCTCGTATGACTGACCTCAGATTAACCAGTCGTCAAGGTAGGGGAACACATGTACTCCTCGATTGCGCAGAAAGGCGGCAACCACAGCCATACATTTCGTGAACACCCTTGGCGCAGTACACAACCCAAAGGGGAGTACCGTAAACTGAAAATGGTGACAGCCCACCATAAACTGAAGGAACCTCCTGTGACTGGGCCTGATAGCCACATGGAAGTAGGGCTCCCACGAACTCTATGCTCTGGAAGGGGGTCAGGGATGACTTCTCGACATTCACCAAGAGCCCCAGCCTTAAGAAGAGAGCTCTTATGAGTGACACGTGAGCTTCTACTTGCTCGTACGAGCGACCTCGGATTAACCAATCGTCGAGGTAAGGGAACACATGTACTCCCCGATTGCTCAGAAAGGCGGCAACCACAGCCATAGATTTCGTGAACACCCTTGGCGCAGTACACAACCCAAAGGGGAGTACCGTAAACTGAAAATGGTGACAGCCCACCATAAACCGAAGGAACCTCCTGTGACTGGGCCTGATAGCCACATGGAAGTAGGCGTCCTTTAGAT